ATGTTTGTTAGCTGAGTTCAGCTGATTTTTCAGAGAAGACCGAAATAAAAGAAACTGTAATTTCAATGTCACCTATCCATGGACTTCTCTTGTTGAGCTGCAGACCAGCTCCTTCCTTCTCCTTCATTCTCCAGCCTCTTCAAGCATTCACAGAACATTAATTTTTGAATACAGACACTACTTCTGAATGGGGGTACAGACTAACACATTGTTCTGTGCAAAGTTTAAACAGTCAGGTAACTTGAAATAACTTTGATAATGCATAAAGTCAAGCATGGGCTGCAGTTCACTTCCTATGATAAAAGTCACATACTTCATCCTAACAATTCCTGTTATTTAGGCTCTTGAAACTTCTCCTTTTCTCTGATCAGCCAATGAATTCCTTATCTCATATTGACCAAAAAGGAGTCAAAGTCTGTAAAATGTATATTTTTGCCAAGTGAGAATCTTCTCCTTTTCCTTCCTCTAGCTGGCTTCAAAAGATATTTACCTGACAAACAGGTACGAGAAAGCAGCCCAGACATTCAACGTGTCTACCCCATACCATGGGAAAGCCCCAGCAGAAAAGAAAAGACAAAATCAAAAAAAGAATAAAATTTACCATCTCCAAACAAAAAACAAGCTCCCTACATAGATCATACAGCAGCAAAAATAAAAGACAAAGCAGCACCTCATTTGGATCATCTAATACATTATTATTAAGAGACTCGGAATTAGACATTTAATTTTGCCAAACATATCAAAAAAACAGAGGGATAGACCACTAATGCACTAACTTTTCTGCTGATTTTTTGTTTTTCTAGCGATCTCTAGAAATTGCATCAGTTTTCATCATTTTGCTAGCAAAAATAAAGCCAATTGTATGCTAACTGTCCTACCAACGCTGAGTAATCAAGATAATATTAAACTGTCTGTCTTGGTTTTGTTATATCTGGGGCTGCTTACTGCAAAGGAACTGTACTTCCCTTTGCAATGACACTTAGAGGAAAGAGGCTCTGAAGTGAAGAGGAGACAACAGTTGCAGACTGTAAAGACTTCCAGCATACTGACAGTTCTCAGTTTGAACTGAGGAATAACACATTATCTCTGGAACACAGAAACTTCAAGTAGAAAAAAAAAACAATTTAACTGAGGAGAATGTAATGTTTGAACTCAGAGAAACCAGAATAAAACTCTAGAGTCAGAAATTCTCAGTGATGTAAAAGAAGATCTCACACTGTCTGTAGAATAGATGCCACATAGCAGGTCATACTGCATCATTTTCGAATAAAACTCCTTACTGATTTATTCAGAGTTTTGCATGAGAAGCTGATAATACTTTTTAACAATCCATCATTTTCAGTCTTCAATGGTTTAAATACCAGGTTAATATATCACACCGTTTGTCCAAAACATTCCATTTCATAAGATACACATGTAACTATCACACCACAGAATAATTACACATTTCAGAGAGGAAATGACACCCTGAGATAACTGGAAGCACCTCTCTGGGCCCTGGCACTCCTGCAACCTTCCTCATAAAATTCAAAGAACAAAAAAGTCAATAATTGAGTGAAAATGATGGTGAATGCTAAATGCTGAAAAGAAAGTACTCCTGAAAGTCAAAGTAAAATCACTGTGTGATCTTGGATTGGTCACTTAGGACAAATTTCTGTCATCCGTATTAGCCACGTAACGTTAACATGCTGATTTGCTGAATAGTATATTATCCAGTGCTAGAAAAAACAAAAACTAGTCTTCACTAAAGCACTCCTGGAGTTTTAAAATCTGCAGGTAAAAGCATTGTAGCTATAAGAAACACCTGTACATATGCTGATTATATTTGAAAGTAATCTTTTTAGTATTTTTGCCTAAAATAGGTAAATCTTAAAATTAACATTCTGAACTTGCCAGAGCTAAGCCATGAGTATATCGTTGTTCAGAGCCTATGATCAACAGTTAAATAGCCTCATTTCTTTACAGGTGGAACGTCTTTACTGACGGCTCTGGTACGTTTCTTCTATTTGAACACGTTAGATCTCACCAGCAAAGCGTCATGATGGGGAAGGGTAGGCCTGACTGTAGTTACTAGCAACTTGGCTGAGAGTCAGCGGCCTGGAGAAGCCTAACACTGCTCCAATACCATTACGCAGTCAGAGACAGCACACCCTGGATTAGGCCAGCCCACGTTCAGTGTGTGGAATCACAGGCTACAATGAGGAGGAGGTCTAGATGCAGGACTAACTAAAACAGAAACCACCACGACACAGTGTGTGAAACTTAAGAGGTCTGCTGGTACACAGGATTTCGAACTGTGATAAATCTGCAGTTTTGTAGTTTAAGAATCACTCATCAACCATTTCCACTTGAGGGGCCTGCATTATAGCAATAGAGGATGAATTTGTCTACTTCTACAGAAAATACAAGTTTAACTTCAACTAGCATGAAACGTTTAGGAGGTCTGAGTAGCCCAGGAAATGTAGGTTCTTTTTCTAGTGATATCACATTTCACCATTCACATCCCAAGCCAGTGAAAATGGTCAAGCTTCCTACCGAAAATCAGCACTAAAAACCTCTTCAGGAATCTTGTAGCAAGTGGCCCAGCTGGACACCTCAGTAATACCATACAGATTAAAAATACTTGTTTTGTTCTCCTCGTGCTTCCAACTTTTCAAGAGATTCAGTGCAGGAAATGCTTCACCACCAAGGGCTAAGACACGGAGTGAAGTTTTTGCAGACAACACGGTTGATTTAATAATGTGAGCTCCAAACCTTCTGAGAAGTGTTGGCGTTGTCTGAATGATACACGTTAAAAAGAAAGGGATGCAAGAGAAATTATTTGTTATATTTTTTCAGTATATGTATATACCTGTTCTTGCTTTATCATATCCACTATTTGGCTATTATCATCAACCATAAGATGCAAGTAGAGATGGCACTGGTGTTTTGTGAGATTTTATTTATCATATGAAACCTTCAATGAGTATTTTTAGCACAAATATATGCTCGGCTGCAGTTTCATACTTCACCCATCTGTGTTACAGGTTCCATGTTGTTTTTTCAGCCATTATCGAAAGTATATGCACATTAGTTGTTATATTAATGCCTTTGAAATGGAAAGCAGCAAACATGGTATACTCTTTGATATTACTGTTTGGGGCCTTTTTTCTCTTCATTCCAGCATGTTACAGCTGAAATATATTAAATTAACCTGAATACAGAACATGTAAAGACCTTTCTATAACATTAAACATTCACAGGATGCCAGATTTTGGGTTGTTCCTGATTATCTACAAAGATTAGTTTTCTGAAAGTTGTCATGTTACACTGTAAAGTTAGTATTTTTTTAATCTAGTAAGAGGACTAAAAAGTTAATCGAATTATTTCTTGGCAAGATATTTTCTTTCTGTAACATATTAAGACCATCACCTTTCAGTTGATCATTTTAACTTCAGTGAAATACAGTAAGGAAAAAAGGTGGGGGAAAATGACTCTTCCTTCTCCCTTAATCACTTTTTCAGATTTCCCAAGTCTGCTCAACTAAGTTAAGAGGGAAAGGTGAGGTATTCCTACAATTTAAGAAATATCATAAAATTATTCATCATCAGTTGAATTCTAAAGAGCACTTTACCATTAATTCTGCTGAGCAACCCTTCCTTCACTGACCAAAACCACAAAACCAAATTTTTCTTAGGAAGACATCTCAAATATCTCCATGAGACCAAAACCAGCCTTGCCCTGTTAGTCTACACGCTTAGAGAAAATTACTTTTTACTCAGAAATTAAACTCTGACAACAGTTCTGCTTAAAGCAGCAAGTGAGCTAAAGTGATCACGGAAATTGTGTGTGACAGGAAAATCTATATCATCAAGATTTATAGCAATTACAATAAAACAAAATAAGAGTAGGGAATAAGGTTATCAAAATACTCACTGCTGTGGAATCTCCAGCTAACTACTCACTAATCTTAAATTTAAAATCTACAATCTCAACTACCATCATTTCTCCAAAAGAAAAGGAAACCTTAACACTTCTGTGAATGCAAATACAACATTAATGACAAAGCATTACTTCAGGGTTGATCTATTGCAGTTAGTAGACTAACCAGATCATAATAATTTTGCTCAAAGTCAGTTACAAACGAGATCCACTTTTAGTGGCTTCCTCTCCCCTAGGATTTAAGTTTCTGTACTTAAGTAATAGCTTATTAAATCCCCCTTAACACTACAAAGCAAGAGATGAGGCTTATTCAGACACACGGGATGCTCACAGTTTCAAGTATGTTTTCAAAAAAATGAACTTTAAAGCCATGAAAATTGAGATAATATAGCAGGTGATGTATATTAAGACAGAAGGGGCAGACGAAGCCTCATATAAGCAGATGGCCTGAACACAGGAAGTGTTGCTGGTTATCCTTCTCTTACTATTGTAAAAACGACAAACGTTTTATCATGCTGTAATAGCACTGTTTTAGTTGTTGTATTTTATAGTAGAGAGACTGCCATTAAGAATTAAAAAATATTTATGAGGAAAGGCTCCAAGACCAAGCCCATTATAAGGTGCTAAAGTGTTTATAAAAAGTAACCTCCTTACCAGATTATTCAGAGCTAGCAGATTAACTAACAGACTAATTTAATTAGCTCGTAAGAATTAACACATTACTAAAATGAATGTCAGTTTTATCTTCAGTTCAGTGTTTTCTGTCACAAAATGTTTGAGACTGCAATCAGATAGTAATTTTCTAAAAAGCTAACATCCTACAGCAAAAAGGATAACAGGAACCACTTTCAAGGAAGAACGCTCCTGCAATATTATCACTACTGTCTAGTCTGATGAAGAAATAGTCATATTAGCAAAGGTGAGAAGCAAGACACTTATCTTACAGGTTGCCTACCTGCAACACTGTCACACGATGGTGATGAAATAGAGCAGCACATAGCTTCACAGGCATCATTTTAATAGTGTTTGGTACTATAAGAAGAGAGGCGCCGCTTGTCAGAGCAATGAACAGTTCAACCACAGATGGGTCAAACGTTAGAGAAGAAGCCAGGAACAGCATATCATCCTGTGTGATCTCAAATATGGATCTAGAATAAGAAAGCTAGGAATTACAAACCTGGTGCATGTTAATAAAAAAGAAACAAGGTTCCCAAATGGAAGAGCAGCATGAAAGAGCTTCTGTACCTCACTTTAGTTAAGGGCTACTCTGAATATATAGGCATATTGCTTGAATGTGCTGACCAGAGAATTTGAGCACGAGCTCCTGCGTAAAACGACTGTAAATATGGATTGAATAAGGTCCTTTACAAAGATAGCCATCACGTTACACACCAAGACAATTGGTTCTGGGGCATATTCCAACTAGTGGGTGCTCCTTTGATACACCTTTGGATCTGGAATCTTTTTTCACTCCAGATGTCAAACAAACAAACAAATAAATAAACAACTAAACCAAGCAGCCAGTAGTATTTTCTAGAGAGTACTAAATGGAACGGAACGAAACCCAAGTGGCCTCCAAGAAAAGGAATTAGGATTTAAAGAGAAAAACTACAGAATACGTTAAATATAAATGGGAATAAAAAAATTAATTTTGTTACTTATTTCTTTCAAGCAGCAAACCAGCAATACAATACCTACAACACTACCACATTTTGGGGATATACTATCCAAAAATTCAGGTAAAGAGTCTTATTTAGTCATTACAAATAACATTTAGACAAACAATTTTATATGACTACTTAGAAACAAACAAAAAGAAATGTGAGGAAGGAAAGGCAAGGGAAGAGGAAGAAGTGAAGTACTGTTGGCAAAAATTCAACCTGTACCCTCTGAAGTACTTAAGAAAAAAAGATACTGAAGGCCTAATTGGCAAAAGCACTTAAAAGAAAAATCAGAAATCACACTTACTTAAGATGCTGAATATTTGGCACTATACATTTATGAGGTACTCTGACTATTTTGGGGATCCCCGTAGTTCCTGATGTATGCAAGACGTACGCTAAAGAGTATTTCTGGCCAATGTCCATGTATCCTCCTTTCGACATCTTTACTTCAAGTTGATCTGGGCAGACAGTATAACCTGGCTGCAAGTTACCCATAGCTTTGAAGGGTTCATATTTAATTTTTACACTGTCTAGTTGGGAACTTGTATCAGCACTGCTCCAGCTAATTTGGAAGAGAGTTAAACCAATATGTTCTATTGTGGAAGAACTGTGGTGAAACCAGCCCTCATGGGACATCTTGAATTTCTGTAAGAGAAAATACACAATTTAAATGGGAAACCTCAGGACGTACTGTTATTGTTCTATTGCGTGCAATGAATTATGAAAAAAAGAACGTTTTCACAAGTGACCTGTGATTTTTCACTCCTCCATTTTTGGAAGACACATATAGGACAGTTTTAAGCTCATACTTATATATATTTTAAATAGGAGTGAGTACATACTTTATAAATGAGAAATAAACAATTATTTTGGCAAATAATAAGAAGAAAGGGAAACTATATGAAACAATTTCACAGAAGACAAAGAAAAAGTACTCTGAATTGTAACTAGATGGTCTGGGCTTGTCTATTCCCTTTGCAAGGTGTGAGGATACAAAGATTTGGAAGCAGTTGGACAAAGGGAAATCGAAGGACTAAATGGAGCAGTTATTTTCAACTGCTGCAAAGACTTCCAACTCCGAATCCTGACATACATGGAAACAGGACTGGAAAAGTCTTGTTTGCCCGGACAACACTGTAATAGGAAAATAGACAACTTTTTTAAACAGGGGAAGCACTTAATACTTCTAAATTCAAAAACATTTGTATGAAGAAGACACCATCTTGTCATGAGGAAACAAAGCAACCATATGCAAACTTAGACACAATACGATCTGAGTAGCTACACATTTCTACATGGCACATTAACGGTTCCTGTAGAAGCCTGAACACTTACATTTATTTTGTCATTCTCAACAAGAATATATTGAAGGCTGCATTTCTTCATGAAGTAGCTGGATAATATTGGTGGTGCGTCTGGATCAACAGGAGAATAAGCAGCTGGAACTTGAAGGATTCTACAAAGACAGAAGTATTACAAATTAAGAAAACTCTAAGGATAACAAAATCCTCTTAAATTTCACTAAGGTTTCTTTTACAGCACAGTTAATTTCCAGACTCAGAAAATGTAGTTAGAATATGATTTTCAAATATTTTGTTAGAAATTAAGTAGAAAGCAAATTATAATCACTGTTCCCTTCTGGTCTTCTACAGCAAGGAAAAAGCTTAAATCTAGACAAAAACACTCAAAATTCTTCCCAGCCAAGGTTAGTGATAATGAAGGTATCACTGACATCAATGGCACCATGATTTCAAAGCTTCTGCTATTGACTAGAAACAGAAATAAAACCTTTTCACTTACATGTGTAACATGCATAAACATACTGAAAAATCCCAAGATCCACACACTGAATATACTATCTTTTTCTTCTGGCTAGTTTAAAGAACTCAGTTTAAGAAAATTTGAACAAGCATTATAATTTCTTCCCTAACAAATAAACAGATGAACATTAAGTATCATTTTTAACTCGTTCACTGTGCTTTATATTGCAGTGCTTCTTCAAGTTACTGGTTTACAACAGTCATGGATTATGTACTCCATCCAGTGGCTCAATTTGATAAAGACAATTACTTGAATGCTTTAACACCTCAAAAAACAAAGATAAATAAGAGACAACTAAAATGTGAACACTTTCCATAAATCCTAAAATTCCTTCTTAAAATTTCTTCTTTTGGGTCCCCATGAACAATTAGTTATATTTCCTCAGTGTGTGACAGTGATTTATCACTGCTGTAACAACAAGATCTAGAACAAAGACTCGGAACCTGCAGCATTCTGCATTGTTACTACTAAGTTTAAAGCACTCGAACAGGCACTGGAACCAATAAATTTGAATAAAGTGCCTATGCCTGCCCTGCGCTATATATGGCATATATAGCTAACTGCTTAGGAGACAGAGTTGTAAGAATCAAAATGCTTTGGTAGTTCCCACTCGGGTAGCAAAAGGAAATGCTGCTGCTGCACAGATCATAGGAACACAGGATAATTCAGGTTGGAAGGGACCTCAGGAGGTCTCTCACCCAACCTCCTGCTCAAGCAGAGGCAGCCGTGAGGTCAGACCCAGTTGCTCAGGGCTTGATCCAATTGCATCTTGAAAACCTCCAAGGATGGAGACTGCGCAACCTCTATGAGCGACGGGCTCTGCTGCTGCACTCTCCTCACATGGAAAAAAGTGTTTCCCTACCAGTGAGAAAGTTCCTCAGCTTGTCCAAAAGGTTAATGATAACCTTAAACGGAGCACTCACGCCGTTTAACACATCAACTGAGCCGGGAAAGGATGTGCGACTCTACAACCACATGCTTAGATAGTCAGCTGGATGATGGACAATCAGAGGAGATAACAGCAGAGACCAGAGTCTCTTGCATAGTTTGCTTGTAGAATTTATTTTGCATCATTTTACTGCAGTAAAAAATTTACACAAGCACATGCTGGAACAAAGGTTTCCTTTTGGCAAATGATAATCTGATTCACTGAGTATAGAGCCACATTACATATCTGACTCTGTACTATTCCACGTAAGCAGAAATTCAACCTACAGTGATGATAAAGCCCCATACCAGCTTATTTGTCTGGTATTTCAAGAGGTTCGCTGAAGAGTAGTAATGAAGCTTCAGATTCTTGAAGGAGAGGAACGCAACAGGTGACTCATCCCCTGGACAAGTAATGTAAGCACTTACTTTACAGGCATACTTTTGGATTACGCTCTACCGTAGATAGAAGAATACCTACTCAAAAACCCTGAACTCAATGCTTTGGCAATGTCACCGACACCGTGACGAGTTAGATGTTCCTGGGTATGTTTAGAAACAAAGTTGTGAAATGCCTAAGTGGCATTCTGTCAAAAACAAAGACAACAGTTAGCAGGTATACCTAGAAGTACACTACTGAGTTCAGTGAAATCTTTAGACAATTTTCTTTTACATCATTCTCTACCATTACTTTACTTTCTGCCTTACGTTTTCTTGTGCTACTGCGTATTTTAGTCCGGTGTGACAACAGGAAAATACTAACGCAGATCATCCCAGTAAGACGACTGCTGCTGTACATATCAGCTCTTGAAAATACGATGATGCAGGGATTCTATATTATATCGTAAACTTAATGGACAGAAAATATGTAAGGGATACACACATAACAATTCATCTGCAAAAGTAATATTTTAAAAATTGCAGAGCCAACATTAGTGTGGAGATCACAAACATTTCTATTTCCTGGCACTAAATAATCAGTCTTTACTACTGCACTCATAATTACTTTTTCCTATGATATTTGTTAAGAGAGTTTTAACTGTACACTCATTTAGTGTAAAGCATCAATTTTTTTCACATCTACTTTTTCTGCTAGCAAGACAAGAAGAATATACATAAAAAACAACTCTGCATACTCATTTTTGTACATATTTATTCTGTTAAATCAACTCCATTTTTAAGCATAACACACTAGTCACAATACGCCTAAATATACACTCTTCTTTAAATTGACACTTTCATGTATTTTAGATTTTCATATATTTTAGATCAGTGACCTTAAGACTTGGTCACTTAAAACTCTGACACTAGGTTTTCAAAAGAGTGTAAATTATAACACTGGGACAAAAGAGTGTAAACTCTAACACTGGGGTCTTTTTCCTTAAAAAGCAAGACTCCTATGCCTCTACATTTAAGCAATACAATACATTTAAATAATGTAATAAAGGAAAATAAATATAAGTATTTCAGCTGCATAAAAATCATCTAAGCTATGGTCTGCTTTACTGCATTTTTGTTATTATTAAAAATATAAACAAATTGAAAATCTGCTTAAATAGAGTCTATAGGTGAACATTACAAAAAAAAAAAAGGACAACGCAAGGATTCACACCATTACCCTATGATCCAAGATGGTAAGTTTATTCCCGGATAGCAGTAAAGACCTATTTCACATTTCCCTCGATGACTGCAGTGCTTTTGAAGGAAAGCTGTTAATTCCACCGCAAGCTTAACTACTGTCGCATATGTGTAGAAAACTGCAGGTTTGCCATTGCACTCATCAAACCAAACGGCTTTTCTATCCGGATACAGGCTGGCTGCCTCATTCACCATTTCCTGAAGAGTCATCTCAGCAGCATAGCTTCAGTGCCTCTGAAAGACAACAAAGCAGACTGCGTTGTCACCTCCCAGTTTTTAGTATTTTAGCCAAATGACACAAGAACTGCGCAAAAAGCGTATGTCTCACTTAAAGCGCGTTACAGGAAGCACACAACTTCACCACAACACCCGATACTGCTAAAGCACCCCCACCTGATGTCGCCTCCCTCCCCACCCCCCGCCTCCGCC